TTGTGTTGAAGGTAAAAGCACTGTAAACAGTTATACGATTTGAGAAGATATCTCAAAAACCCAGATCAAGTCAAGAATGATGCTTTTCCTTGGTTTATATTTTCCTGTGCAAGATATGATAACTTACTGAAATAAAAGTTAATTTTTTCCTGAAATTTAACAGTCAGTTTTTTTTTTCTGAGTGCTAGTGAAATATCACATGAATTTCATTCGATCGACTCAGCGTTGCTTCAACTCAATTTCACTGTAAAAATTGTTTTTCGGAATTATGGAATCATTCAAAGAGGTTGTAAAGTATATGTTTCACGCGTAGCATTGGAAAAGGTCCTTGAAAACAAAAGTTGTTATGCCCAACTATACCCTCGACTATACCATTGAGCAGAGGTCGAAGATATGATCACTATGCTACAGTGGAACTGCCGTAGTTTAGTGCCTAAGCTAGACTCGTTAAAATTTTTACTTCACAATTCTGATTGTGATGTGACCTACTAAATAGGGGCGGAATGAGAAGGATCGAAGAGTGCTGTGCTTGTAGATGGAACCGAAAAATTTTCCACCCGTCAAATTTTTGGATTTAGCGTTGTCCCGGATTTTTTTTTACAGTAAAGTGATATTGGTGACGAACGGATACTTGAGTTTCCTGAATCGAGTTCCACAGTGTGCGGTTTGTGTCAGACGGCCAAGAGGTGTTTCAAGACTAAATTCGGGACATTCCGTGCAAGCTCTACCACAAACCGGACTTCCCCTCTGTTAATCGTTCGAAATGATGCGGAAGTGGACAAGGCACGACTACCGAGAACTGACGCGAAGTTCTACCACGCGAAACCGGGACTTTTCCGAATTTCCGAACCGAAAATAAATAAAACTTGTAGAACAAAAATGTCTGCTCACAAATTCACTTTTATTAGAATAATAAGACGTAGTAGCAATCAAAAAACAAACGATATCGGGTAGACAGGCAAAGTTCCTGTTCTTGAAATGTCTCTCTCTCTCTCTCTCACAGTAATTGTATTGCAGAAAAATCAGTCAGGGATGAACTCAATTCCAAAACCATAAACATCATCCCGGCCTTGAGGCGGATGCCTCAATTAGTAGGAAGGACCACCTACTAGGATTGGTCGCTGGTAGATAGTTTGACCTCTCTTCAGGCTTACGTTACGAACGATGCCGCTACGATCCGGATGAGTAGCAACCACCCGAGCAAGTTCCCAATAGGCAGGTGGCGTGTTCTCGTTCTTCACCAGAACAAGGTCCCCAATCTGCAGGTTGTCCTGGATTTTCTGCCATTTCGTCCGGGGTTGAAGTGTTGAGACGTATTCAGTCCGAAAACGTTCCCAAAACTCTTCGGTAATCTTTCGTAATTGGCGATTCATTGGTACAGATGATAAGTCCGGTTCAGGAACAAGGTTCAATGGTTGGCCGATAATAAAATGTCCGGTTGTCAAAGCCTCGCAGGAATCAACTGAGTTTGAAAGCGCACACAAAGGTCGTGAGTTCAAGCATGCTTCAATCTGGGTTAAGACAGTGGTCAACTCTTCGGAACTCAAAATGTTGGTTCCCAGCACAACGCGCAAGTGTTTTTTCATGCTTTTTACTACTCCTTCCCATGTGCGGGGATGACGGTGTGATGAAATTCCACTGTACTCCCAAACTGCTCACGTATTGGTCTACTTCGGTGTTGAATGCAGCTGACGCCAAAAGCTCCTTTAGCTGGCGGTCGGCACCAACAAAATTTGTGCCATTATCAGACCACAGTTGACTGGGCAAACCACGACGAGCGCAAAAACATTTCAAAGCTGACATGAAAGTTTTTGATGATAGATCGGTAGCCGCCTCCAAGTGCACAGCTTTTGTTGCAAGGCACACAAAAACTGCTATGTAGCATTTAACGGTTTTCACAGATCGCAGTAGGCTGGCCTTTATTGTGACAGGCCCAGCATAGTCCACGCCAACGTTTTCAAATGTTCGACTGGTAACAGGCAAACTACCCATCAATTGGTTTGCTGTTCTAGCTTTCCACCGTGCACAGCGTACGCAGCTATTTACCACAGACTGCACCACTGATTGGCAGTCGATTACCCAGTAGTGTTGGTTCAGTGTCGCGATAAGCAGAGTAGGATCAGCATGCAGATTCTGTAGATGCAACATCGATATCAGCTGTAGTGTAAAACGATGCGACTTGGGAAGTATAACAGGATGCTTCATGTGAAATGGCTGGTCGGAATTTTGTAATCTTCCTCTCACACGCAGTGTTCCATCTCCATCGATGAAAGGGAAAAGCGATTTGAGTTTACTGTTAGAAGGAAGTGGTTGACCTTTTCGAAGATGTTCGATATCGCTTCCAAACTCCTGATGCTGAGCAAAACGGGCCAACTGTAGATTGGCATCATGAACTTCCAATGGCTTCAGTTGTCCTGTAATCTTCTCAGTTCCTCGTAGCTTCCCTAGTGAGTTGACCTTGAATCTGTAGACCCACGCTAGCTCTCGTTGCGAATCCTTTAAAGATGTATTTCGTTTCAGGAGATATTCTTCAACTTTCCAGTCCGATGCAGGTTTGACAGCACTCGATCAGCTGCAACTGGAAACTGCGCACGGGAATCACGGGCAGCTTGTCGTAAGGATTCGATAGCCAGAAATGGCGCACATGAAGTCCCGTACGTAACTGTCAGCAACCGGTAATGTTCAATGGGCTTATCGGCTTCCACTCTCCATACAGTACGCAAGTAATCAACATCGTCTCTGTGTATCCATATCTGTCGATACATTTTTTCCGCATCCGCAATAAAGGCGAAAGCGTAGCTATGAAAACGGGTGAGGACGACAGGCTAGTCCTCGGTGACCTTCGGTCCAGTTAACAGTTTCTCGTTCAAAGAAATTCCGGATGACGATTGACATGAGCCGTCAAACACGACTCGCAATTTGGTTGTGACACTGTCTTGCCGCATGACACCGTGATGTGGAAGGTAGAAACTTTTCTCTGGCGCAACGTTAACCTCGTCGTCTGGAATCCTCTCCATGTGACCAAGATTAAGGTACTCGGTCATGAACTCACCTCACCATGAAGCCTGGATCTCGAACGAATCTCCTTTTCATCGCCTTCAACCGCTGGATTGCTGCTGGCATCGATTCACCTAATGCGGGTTTGCTTTCGTCGAACGGTAAATGCACTGTAAATCTACCAGTTTCATCTCGTCCATGTCCATGCTGAGACTGATGATGGCCGTGTTGCAATTCACCTCGCTGGCGTCGAAAACTTGACCGGCAACAATCCATCCAAAAGTTGAGTTGATCGCCACTGGAAGTCCCGATACATCTTTTACCTTGCCATCTTCTAAAATAGCCAAGAAAACATCACGTTGACCACCGAATTGTAGCAAAAGCGAGAAGAAATTTCCAGATCAACAACTCCTCTGGTGGTTTCCGATGAGCAGCTTGCGATTCCGGTGACAATCAGATTAGCGTTGCTTCGCTGCAATCCGAGATTGATCACGCAATCCTCCGTGATAAGTGATGCTTGTGAACCGCTATCAATCATCACTCGTACTCCTGGCACTGACCATCAATTCGCTTCACTCGTACTAATGCCGTTGGTAGTAGGCCGATGACAACCGAAGAACAGTTGTTTTTGACGTTAGTCGTGCAGGACACCGCTGGCTTGATGTCGACTGCTGCAGAACTTTGCGGCTGCTGTGGGAAGGCGAAGACGAAACTTGCTTTTCTGACGGCGGGGTCGATGTTAGCTCATTTTTGTCTGCCGTATCATAGAGGTAACTCTAAGACTAGAAGGTCCCGAAATAACGTGCTCAACTTTTTGGCTCAGCTCTGGTACTATCTACGGTCCCAAGCTAATCGATTCACCCCTCGAAACATAGGAAAAACCAATCACCCCTCATTTTATCTGTCAAACTTTCATAGCGACTCAAAACAAACATTGCGTAGTACTAGAATTTCGACTAGAATGGGATACGTTAATCGTTTGCTTGGGACCAATAGGCTAGTCAAGTAGTGAGCCAATTTAAAATCGTTAGTTTCGTATTGATTGTTGATCGTATGGTGACGTTGTTGACAGTGTGGTGTGCGGCATACCGACTTCGACGGACTAGGATTTGGCGCAATGGTTTGGTCTCAGACAATTGAAAAATAGTTTCGCTTGCTGCACTCGTTCGCGCCTTTCGTTGACAGAAGATTCCTTGAAGAGGGTGCACTCATAAATCCTGTGGCTTTCCGCGCAAACCGGACACGACTGCTGTTGAACCATAGAGGTAACTGTAAGACCAGAAGGTCCCGAAGAAACGAGCTCAACTTTTTGGCTCAGCTCTGGTACTATCTTCGGCTCAAGCTAATCGATTCGCCCCTCGAAACATAGGAAAATCCACTAACCCCTCATTTTATCTGTCAAACTTTCATAGCGAATCAAAACAAACATAGTGTAGTACTGGACTTTATACTAGAATGGGGCACGTTAGTCGATTTGATTGGGACCAATAGGCTAGTCAAGTAGTGAGCCAATTTAAAATCGTTAGTTTAGTATTGATAGTTGGTTGAACTGCATTGAATGCCTTGATTTCCTTTTTTGCAGTGAGTTGCATGCGGTCATCTCTATGAGGTTCCTTTCTGCCGTACTCTGAGGGTTTTCCACCGAATGCTGCACATGTCTCCAACGCTTCACACTTCATTTTAAGATGCATGAGAAGATCGACGAACGTTGGGTCGTCATTATACACAATATGCTGTGCCCACTGCGACCGAAGACCATCATCAAGCTTCTTCAGTACGATGTGATTCAACCAAGGATCTCTCGTTTCGCAAGTTGGCCCCAGGGCACAGAGTTGACGAATTACCTCGTCGGACGTTGACACTAACTTTCGTAAGCTTGCAAGATTCAAAGGCCTTATTGCCGGTTGGTCGCAGAACTCCTGAACCAGAGCGGCAACTTTCGGTAATGGATTCGTTTTGATAACTTTGCTTCATATAGGTTACGACTAAGCTGAACAATTGAGATGTCGGACAACAGTAACCTCAAACGGTTCTTGGAACGTGAATTCGCACGTGTGAATGGAAAAATAGAGAAAGGTAATTTACACTGCCGGACAAAAGATTGATGCTACACCTAAAAAACATAAGAAAGTTTTTGTCCTTATTTCGAACCCCATAAGTGCATACAATTCTATTCACCTCTCTTTCCTTCTGCTGTAATTTTTATGCATTTTACCCAATTCGATCTGTTTAGATCTAGCTATCTGTCAAAAACCACGTGGTGAATGCAGGCGAATGCACTTTAGTGTCAAAGTGACATTAGTTTGACGTTGCAAATGCGTTGCGATTAGCAAATGGCATTCGCTTATTGCAATGTAAACATGTTGCAATGAACGAATGATGACTGTATTATTCAGTCCGCATCGTGCTCTCTTGCCGTGCGGATCTATTTGCTTTTTGCTTAAGGAAGTGTTACTACTACCTAAAGCTACAACAAATTTAAACAGCACTTTTCAGTGCTCAACCTGTACAAATTTTCTACCTTGTTCAACTCCTCTTATTCCTCTTCGATCCTTGTTTGGACCCTACCCGAGGTAATCCTTCTTGGATATCGATTTGGAAAATTCCTCTTCGATCCTTCAGATTCTTATAGTAATCTGCTTGGAAGTCGATTTGGATAATCGCATAATCGCACTTTTCAGTGCTCAACCTGTAAAAATTTTCTACCTTGTTCAACTCCTCTTATTCCTCTTCGATCCTTGTTTGGACCCTACCCGAGGTAATCCTTCTTGGATATCGATTTGGAAAATTCCTCTTCGATCCTTCAGATTCTTATAGTAATCTGCTTGGAAGTCGATTTGGATAAAAAATTTACTGCCGCCATGGCGCCTAAACGCAAAAGAAAGGGGCAAACTCTTGACCCCCCTTCTGAAGAAATTAATTTGAGTAATCAATTTGATTTGCTCACGGATGATGAGAATGATCCATCATCCAAGAAAAATTCTAGTAAACTTTCCCGGCTTAATGCCAAGAAGGAAAAGATTCCCCCTATTGTGATAACCACTACCGATTTCCATGCTCTTCGCATGGAACTTTTGAATTTCGTGAAAGTTAAGTTTTCACTACAAATTGGACGTCGGGGTGAATGCCGTGTATTGGCTGAAACCTTGGATGGATTTAAATGTCTTCTCAAGTATCTTACTGAGAAGAAGCACAAATTTTTTACTTACGACACCAAAACTGAACGTGTGTTCAAGGTTGTCATGAAAGGACTGCCCAGTGGTGAATCCCTGGATCAGATCAAAGATGAACTGGTAAAATTACTTGGAGTTGTGCCACTCCAAGTAATCAAAATGAAAATGAAATCCCGTCCTGGCGATTCGCGCAACGGGATTTCTAATGATTTTTATTTAGTTCACTTCAAGTCTAGTGAACTAAACAACCTTAAGGCCTTAGAAAAAGCTAGCCTTATGCTCCATGTCCGAGTGAAGTGGGAACACTTCAGGAAGACTGGAGGAAATTTCCAAAACCTCACTCAGTGCCGTAAGTGCCAGGGATGGGGTCACGGAACTAAAAATTGCTACATGCCAGCTAAATGCATGAATTGTGGTGATTCCTCTCACGCAAAGGACGACTGTCCTGTGAAGGAAGATCCTAAGAAATTTAAATGTTCAAATTGTGGTGAAAACCACAAATCCAATTTTTGGGAATGTAAGACTCGCAAAGCGATCCTACAATCTCGTTCTAACCGACAGGTAGGAAACGCTCCACGTTTCCGACCAGGTACAAATTCCTCTGCTGTTAACAACGGTCAGCGAGGAACAAATTCTACATTCGTACCCGGAGGTACAAATATCACCCCTGCTTCAAATGTTTCATCTGTACCTACTCCCCTCGCTGCTAACAATGTTCAGCGAGTTAATGGAGCTACCTATGCTGCTATTGCAGCGGGTAGAAATCAAAATACTAACCAACGTTCTAACGGAAATTTTGACAATTTTGACTTAGGAAGCATTACTGCCCCCAAAATGGAATTTTTACAGAATTCATTAATTGACATGATTTCTGATATGCTTAAATCTAACTCCATGTTTGATGCTATTCAAACTGGAGTAAAATTTGCTAATAATATTGTCATGACTTTAAAATTCAGTAATGGATTTTAAAGCATTAAACATTTTAAATTGGAATGCTCGATCTCTTAAAGATAATGAAGACGAGCTATTTAATTTTTTGAGAGTTCATAACGTGCATATTGCCGTTATAACTGAAACGTTCCTTAAACCTGACCATAAGGTTAAGAAGGACGCAAATTACTTGATTTATAGAAATGATCGTCTTGATGGACCCTGTGGAGGCGTTGCCATCATTATTCATAGACGAATCAAGCATAAAATTCTTTCTTCATTTGAAACCAAAGTTTTTGAAACTTTGGGAGTTTCTGTTGAAACAAAATTTGGACAACTTACGTTTATAGCTGCCTATTTGCCATTCCAATGCGTAGGCCAGCAAAAGAATTTTCTCAAGGGTGACCTCCAGAAACTTACCCGTCATAGGTCTAAATTCTTCATTATTGGTGATTTTAATGCAAAACACCGCTCATGGAATAATGCTCAAAGCAATTCCAATGGTAATATTCTGTTTGATGATTGTTCTGCAGGTTATTACACTATTCAATATCCAAACAGCCCAACATGCTTTTCTTCTGCAAGAAATCCCTCAACTATTGATTTGGTCTTAACTGATTCATGTCATCTTTGTAGCCAATTGGTTACCCATGCTGACTTCGGTTCTGATCACCTTCCAGTAACTTTTGAAATATCCCAAGAAATAATTTCCAATCCCAACAGCTTTACTTTCAATTACCATAGGGCTGATTGGGAGCAATATCGAACATTTATGGAATATAACTTCGATCCAAACATTCCTTTGCAAACCAAAGATGAAATTAATTATGCTCTTGAATCTCTGACTACTTCTATAGTTGAAGCAAGAGCTGCCTCAGTACCAAAATGCGAGGTTAAATTCGATTCAATTATAATAGACGATGATCTTCAGCTCTTGATCCGTCTTAAAAATGTCCGTAGGAGACAATTTCAAAGAACACGCGATCCTGCCATGAAAGTTATCTGGCGGGATTTGCAAAAACAAATTAAAAAGCGATTCTCTGCCCTGAGGAACAAAACTTTTGAAAATAATGTTTCTAAATTAGACCCGAGTTCCAAACCCTTTTGGAAACTCACAAAAATTTTGAAAAAACCTCAAAAGCCAATTCCAGCGCTTAAAGAAGGTGGTAAAATTTTGATCACAAATTTGGAAAAAGCTCAGAAACTTGCTAAGCAATTCGAGAGTTCCCATAATTTCAGTTTGGGTCTTACTAGTCCTATTGAGAATCAGGTTGCTCGGGATTTTCGGAATATTTTCTCTCGGGAAAATATTTTTGATGATTCCTGGGGGACTGATTTGGAAGAAGTAAGGTCTATAACTAAAAAATTTCAAAATATGAAAGCTCCAGGTGATGATGGAATTTTCTATATCCTCATCAAAAAACTCCCAGAGAGTACCTTGTCTTTCCTGGTAAAATTATTTAACAGATGTTTCCATTTGGCATACTTTCCTGATAAATGGAAAAATGCAAAAGTTGTTCCAATTTTGAAGCCGGATAAAAATCCAGCTGAAGCTTCTAGCTACCGTCCAATAAGTTTGCTTTCTTCAATAAGTAAACTTTTTGAAAAAATAATTTTGAATAGAATGATGCTTCACATCAATACGAACTCAATTTTTGCAGATGAGCAGTTTGGATTTCGCCATGGGCATTCAACTACTCATCAACTCTTGAGAGTTACCAATTTAATTCGTTCAAACAAATCTGAAGGCCACTCAACAGGAGTTGCTCTTCTAGACATAGAAAAAGCATTCGACAGTGTTTGGCATGAAGGTTTGATTGCTAAATTGAAAAAGTTTAATTTTCCACTTTACATTATGAAATTAGTTCAAAATTATTTAACTGACAGAACTCTGCAGGTAAATTATCAAAATTCCAAATCTAATCGACTACCTGTTAGAGCAGGAGTTCCTCAGGGTAGCATTCTTGGGCCTATATTATATAACATTTTCACTTCGGACCTCCCTGATTTGCCTCAGGGTTGCCACAAATCTTTGTTCGCTGATGACACAGGCATTTCCGCTAAAGGAAGAAGTCTTCGTGTTATTTGCAGCAGATTGCAGAAAAGTTTAGATATTTTCTCTTCTTATTTACAAAAATGGAAGATTTCTCCCAACGCTTCCAAAACTCAACTTATAATATTTCCACATAAGCCTAGAGCTTCGTTTTTGAAACCTAGTAGTAGTCACATAGTCACTATGAACGGAGTTCCAATTTCCTGGTCAAACCAAGTGAAATATCTTGGATTAATACTTGACCAAAAATTAACTTTTAAAGATCACATTGAGGGCATTCAAGCCAAATGTAACAAATATATTAAATGTTTGTATCCTCTTATAAACAGGAAATCCAAACTTTGCCTGACGAATAAACTTCTAATATTTAAACAAGTTTTTAGACCGGCCATGCTTTACGCTGTGCCAATATGGTCTAGTTGCTGCACTACCAGGAAAAAAGCACTTCAAAGGATTCAGAACAAAATTCTGAAAATGATTTTGAAGTTGCCTCCCTGGTACAGTACAACCGAAGTACATAGAATTTCGAATGTTGAGACTTTAGCACAAATGTCCAACAAAATAATTAATAATTTCAGGCAAAAGTCGTTGCAATCCTCAATTGCAACGATTAATTCCCTTTATACTTAGATAAGATTAGTTTTAGTTTTTAGTTTTAAGATATCAATTGTTATACTGACATGCAGGTTAAAAAACCTGTTTAAAATACTGAATTGCCAAGACATGAACAATGTAAAAACACTTAGATATATATCATAACAATTAAGGCTGGTACGTTACTGTAGTAACTGGAGCACCTAGGTTAAAATGAAATGTAATTTATTTTGAATTTGGAACAAATAAAGAGTTAAAAAAAAAAAAAAAAAAAAAAATGACTGTATTATGCAAACGGTGTATATTTAAATTTCTCTGAATGTTGTGGCTTTCTCAGTCTAGGGAAATCCAAACGGCAAATTTAACCGTTTTAATTTACCTAGACTGAGAAAGCCACAACATTCAGCTAAACTCATTACCAGTCGCACCCCCCAGAGAATTTAAATTTCTCTTTGTAATTACTCATCTGAAAGAGTTAATTTTAATTGAGGGGGTTAGAAGCAAAGGGGTGTAAGTGACAAAAACCTAGATTTGAGAAAAAGGTCTTTTAAGTTATGCCAGTTTCTTATCTTCCCATACAAAATGTATGAAATTTCAAAAATTAAACCAGTTTTCTCAGAATTATGATAATTTATTCTGTTTAACTTAAAAATCTTACAAAAATACTGGCACAAAGCTTAAACTCTGAAGATTTTTGTAGTGTGGTTAACTCAAATTTGACCAAAATGTCACTTACACCCCTTTGCGTTTGGGCCCCTCAATTTTAATTAAGCTGTGAAATATGTTATTATTTCCTTACAGTTGAACAGCAAAATCGAAACATCCTTGCCCATTTTCGGACTACAAGGGAATTATTGACGAACTATGGAAACGAACTCAAAGAGCTCAGAGAATTAAAAAGAACTTTTCCTCTCGATACCCTTGAAGAAATCCAAGATACGATGGTAAAATTTGCTGACCCGCAACATGACTTCAGTATCAAACGAGAAATCGCGTACGCATTAAGCAATGCTGCCAACGACGACTGGCTTCGTGTCATCATTGCGGATAAGGCGATAAACGAATACCGACGATCTGACGAAATAAGGAACCTGAACTTTATTCGGCATATCATCAGTAAGTATAAATATCCAAGGTAACGAACATTACACTAAAAATTATATTGTTTTCTAGATAATATCACCCTAACACCTGAGAAAATTTTCACGGGATTGGTGGCAGCTGCAAAAGGAAGGATTTATGCGAAACAGCGTAGGGACGCTAAGAAGCGACCTCATTCCGAGGGCTCGAAAGAAAACACGAAGCCATCCAACCAGCAGCCGGGATGTAGTCAGACGAAGACTAATAGCGAATTTGTTTATTATCGGGGTTGGAACCAGTTCCAACCCAGTGTGAAACCGAACTTTTTGTCAGTGCGAACCTGAACCTGAGGTAGGTTTTAAAAACAAACGATCAAGCTGACGTTTGTCGGAAAACAAGCAGAGCCGATCTTGATACCCGATCCAGGTTGGAACTGAATAATAAACAAATTCGCTATAAGAAGCGATCTCCTCTTTTCGAGGGCTCAGAAGAAAACAAGATGAAGTCATCCCAGCAACCGGGATGCAGCCAGTCACAGGCAAAAAAGCAAGCTCCACACTTCGCGGGTTCGAAGAAGAACTCGGTGATTACATCTGATCAGCCCAATCAACAGCCTGGAGGCAGTCCGAAGAAATCCAAACCGCAAGAAACATCCTTTGAATCCCGTACATCATCGACTCCTGAGAACAGTAGCCGCAGGAGTTCTGATGATTGTTCTCAATCTGATATTGAGTCGCCAGAGTTTTCCCCGATAAGATCTCAGTAGCTATCGACTACCGTAAGGAACAGCAGGTGCATGTTTCGTCCGAGAGTTCTTCTTTATTCCGTGTTTACATTATTTTCAAGAATTAAGATTAAGAATTAAGGTATTAATAATATACTGTAAGTATAAACTGCGATTATACTATCTGTAAGGAAAACACAAACAAACCTATTTAATAGCTCTTGATCAACTGATTTCGTCGGATTCCATAGGTATTTTGATTTCTTTCTATACTGATTAATCGATAGATTTAGTGGTTTAAAATCAACCGATTTCGTCGACTTTCATTCGTTGTTCGTTTTTGTATGCCGATTAATAAAGCTGTTTAATAGCTCTGCGTCGGACGATTGCTTTGAAATTTACTCATTCTCTGATTCTTTTTGTCTACCAATCAGAGTATTTAGTAGCAACAAATCAGCCGATGTTGTCTGTTTCAGTTTATTTTAAAGCTTTGTTTGCCTACTAATCAGTCGATTTAGTAGTCCTTTATCATCCGATTTGATAGGTTTCTGTCGATTTTTACCATAAATTTTATCCATCGATTATTCACCCTACCAAATCGCTTTCAATCTATCGACTTGGTGAGCCAATTTAGTATACTGTAAAATCAGTCAACCCCTGTGTTAGGCTCCCATAAGCGTCGGTGCAACAATCGACCGATTCGTCGGAAATAAAATCGGTCGATCATGCCGACGAAACCCGACGAAGTTGAGGGAAAAATCGGTGGGATGTTTTATCGGGTAACCTCTGAGTATCGAAGTCAACATTTGTTTTTCTTCATTCGTGGCTGGATGTTCATTATTGCCTCTGTTGTTGTCAACATTTATATTAATCTTCATCTTGGTGGGAATGATTTTGTGGATCAAATGCAAAATGATTATTTTCATTTACACAAATATAACGCTGAAGAACGTGTCGTTTAGGTTTTTACACAGATCGATGGTAAATTATTGCCTCATGCTGAATTGATGATAATGGGCCTTATTACGGGTATCACTTCACGGTGAAAACGAAGTGAAGTGACCGGTTGTCACTCACGGTGAAGTGATTGCCGCGTAAATCAAATGGGAATCACTTCACCGTGAGTGACAAGTTGTCACTTCACCGTGAAGTGACATCGGTAATAAGGGCCAATATCTAGGTTTTAGGCTCTGAGGTGGACAATATTCAAAATAATCATTTTGCTCGCAATTAATTTGATTATTTTGCTTTCGAGGATCGCTCCTGATTTTGACAATTTCGGGTTGGATAATCAAGCACTTGTGACAATCAAGAAACGCGTATTCGTTGATGTATAATGAACTCATTAGTTCGTTTCACTCGAACAGCAAGGATTTTCAAAACAAACGCAATTTATCTACACTGAGTTGAAGCGCGAGATGGAAAATGACAGGTGGGCAGGAACTCACGGACTCCCAGTGCTGGTGAGTTCTTTGCCGTAATGTTCACGAAAAGTTCACTATTTTGCCATACAGAAATTCAAAACAACCATTTTTTGGCGAATTTGGACTGTTTTTGACCTGTTTCATATGACCGGAAGGTGTAGGCTGGTCACAAATGCCGTGCCAAACTGATTTCCTACGCAATTAATCAACCTTTGATGTGAATTTCGCTAATAAACACGAGGAGCATTTCTTATAGCAAACTTGCCATAACAAAATGGGCATGGTTCATTTTAGTAAACAAACTAACCCTTTTTCCGACCGTGTCACCTCTCCTCTATTACTCCTTGTTTGTGATGGTAAATGATAAAAACAGACACTGGTGTTAATTAATTCTGATGTCGACATCAAAGGAGCCTGACATTCTTGATCGGGATTTAATCCGAGGATAATACCGAAAGCACTTCGAAAGAATGAAACATTTATTTTTCGCATCATTAAAGAGGTAAAAAGGAACCATGCATGAATGATCCGTTCAATATCAGAGCTTAGACGCATCGTCCGGACTCCAAAAGTGACCAGCCACATTTGACATGAAATTAAAGGTAAAGTATGTAGTATATCTGGAATATACTGATATCAAAAAATCATGCAAGCATTCAATCGTTAAGACCATTTTTAAAAGTGACAGTTATTCCGAATCACCCAGTATATGTTGACTCTCGAGAAGTTGAAGGTCGATTTCATCACTTTTGTTAAATTTTCCAATTGATATTATACTTATTTTATGGTCATGAAAAAATTTGCTCTTCAGGCGTTTGCACAATGGAATTCCCGGCTTTTTCCCGCATTTCCCGTTATTCCCTAATAAGTTTCGGTAGTTCTAGAACAGTAAAAATTCATCATGAATGTTTTTTTCTGTGTTTTTTGGCTTGACTGCCACATAATTTTCGTTTTTTTTTGTTTCTCTTTATTTACAACATTATTTTAACGATTTTTTTTTGTTTGTTTGTTTGTAGTTTAATTAAATATTATTTTACAGATAAATTACACTGTTTGTTGTTTTTTTTCTTTTAATTTATTTACCTTAAGACTTTGTACTCAGTATGACTGTTGTTTGCTTTTCACCGGTCGTTAGTTTTGCCCTCTGGTGGTGCCGTTGGTTACGCGCGGTTCTACTACTTATATAGGGCCCTATACTGCGCGGCGTGTGAGGTGAGGTGGCAGTAAAGTGATGGTGAAGTGACAATTGTCATGACAGCGAGTCATCTCACCTCACACGCCGCGCAGAATAGGCCTAATAGACATTCGAGTAGCGTAGAATGGCGGGTGTGAGCCCAATGTCCAGAGCGAACTGTCAAAACGTGTGTTATCGTTAATCTGTATCCGCCAGTCTACTTACTGCTATCTCTATGGTATAGTTGTGTTCCGCAACGATCAATTATTATTATCATTATCATGAGTGCAAGAATGCATTTCTAGGCTGATTCTTTAGACAACTTTTTACTACCCATGAACCAACGAGAAATTCGCTTTATCGATCTCCTATGAGTGGATATCTCACAGTTTCTCCAGCTCATTGTGTGTTTGATAATTGTTTCAAAGAATCAGTTTGGAGTTTTCTGAAAACATGAAAACTCAAAATATCCGTTAGGTTTATTTATGTATTACTTAACAAGTAGGCTATGCGATGAAATCTTGTCGGAAAAAGTCAAATCAATTGTACTCACTCCGAAACGGAATAGAGAATATGAATATGGGTGATTATTGTCAAGAAAGAAAGCCTTTCCATCAAGTGTACTTGAAAACATATTATAAGAAGACACTCATATACATGAAATTTCGATAAAATAAATAGATCATCTCAACTATGCATTTAAAATTAAGTGGATTTTTTCATTGTTACTAAATCTATAGAGTGCTGAATAACATTTCTTAATTCTTCTGTCAATATTATTACTCAGTTGCGAATAATTGTTTATGGAAAGCGAAAAGTGATGTCTAAATAGTGAAAAAAGTAAACATTGAATAAAACCAAAGGACTGTCACTCAGTAAAACCAATATGCGGATGAAATGAAAACAGGGAGTAAGTAATATTAACAATGTAATGTACATAAAACTAAAGTAGAGGAAACAGCAAACTATCATAAAGAATTGCAGTAACAAATATTGCACATTGGAGAGCTGATGGAGTGATGGGACTTTCAGCAGACTACACTTTGGAGGAAACAATTACAACGGTATTGTACAAAAAATGTATGGGAGATTTATCTTGCTCGTTACATGGAACCAAAACGACATCGATTATAAACGTCAAACTTAATACTTGCAAAGTTTACTGCAAATACAATCGCTATAGAAATCATTGGTACGGTCAAAGGTTCCCATTGCTCAGTTGGTCAAATGAGCAATCTAGAAGAACGTAAAAAATGGCCATTATACCAAACGGTTATACGAAACCGGTAGCATCCAGCAGTACCTCTCTCGATGTGTCATCTGCAGTTTGCTCGGTGATAAATTTATAAGTGAAGACCACAATTTGCGCCTATTTCTCCAAGGGAAGCGCTATTCCCCCCTCCTCTTTGGCGAGATTGCCATGTTTGTGAAACCACTGGAAGTAAATCCCGTTTTGATGGAAGAAACTTACTGGATAGCGGAGGATAAGGTGCTTTCCGTGTTAAACTTTTTGACTTTAGTTTTAAGATTTATTGTAATATATAATGATCAAATAACAAACTAGGCTCTGGTCTAAGTTCATCCGATTGAGCCTAATGAAATAAAACAATTGAAAAGAAAAATTATGCCTACGGAGTAGAGCCGTCAACGATTTGATGTCACAGAGTAAGGTTAATTATACGGCTAATATACTGCTGCAAAGCCTTATATTGCACAAAGCGAACAAGTCCATCCGTTTGTTGGCTGGTAGTAGAGCCTCGATCGCGCATGATCTATTGTTCGGTTTTAGTTTTTTTTGCCATTCCTAGTTCAAGTTCTAGTTCGTTGTGTTTGGAGGGGTCACTCACGATTTGTTCGGTCGCGTATGGTGCACTATGCATGTGCTTTGGGAGTGTTTAGGTTTGTTTTGATGTTAAATAATTGCATTGTGTACAAGGTGTGGGAGCTCGACCGGAGTGGTGTGAAATGGAAACCCGAGCAGGAACGAATATCTCGATACCTTAAACTGGTAAAATACCAAAGAATAATACCAAAAAATCATTCCAATAACAAATTAAGCAAATTCAATACAAAAACGATACCACACAGGTATTCTTTTGGGATCCAATATATATTTTTTGTTATTTAGGGAGTATTTTGCATGCAATGTTTTTGGTTTTATTTGGTATTTTACCTCTTATTTATGTCAGGCTGGTCAGATGGTATGATGTGATATGAGGGGCTCGGTGGCCTTAGAGCGAACGCTTTTGGTTATTGAGCAGAATATCATGAGATTAGCTCAAGCCACTCCACATTCAAGAGTTGTTAATGGCTTAAAGTGTTCACTAGTGGTGTTTTGTACAGTCAAATTTCGCTCGTTGGGCTATGTTTAAGTGGGCTACGTGTTAGTTGGGCTCCCGTTCGATGGGTTGTAGCCAATCTAAATCAAAGTCAAACGTCATTTCTGACAATGCTGATTCATTTTCGAGGGGCTCATGTATGAACAATTTGGATAGTTGCTAAAGGATTGTGATGATAATAAACAATCGGTGTATCCTTCAACCAATTTTCAGCTTGACAGCTCAGCCCAACTAACTAAAGCCCTTCGCTAAGTGGGCTGCGGGTTTAGCCCAAAGAGCGAAAGTTGACTGTAATATATACGGAGTTCGTATGCCTAGTGAGCAGAAGACCGTGTGTTCAATCCCAAGCTCTTTCGCATTGCATTAGGTCCTAAGTAACATTGACAGATTCTCTTCGTCGACTTTCTCTTTGCATCCCCACGGCCATGTAAAGCCATACCCAGGTATTTTAAGCTCACACATCGATAAACGAAGCTTTCATCTAGCATCTAATATGACAAACACAACATGAAACGGTTATGTGCTCAGGTTATTACCGGACGAGAAAGTCGACGAAGAGAATCGATCAATGTTACTTAGGACCTAATGCAATGTTCAGCTTGAATTCAACCAATGCAAACCCAACATCCCAGTGATTCCTCGGCTTCCATCAAAGCGAGTGTCACGTCAACACATGTCTAGTCATTCCTTTCTTGACTTGCATTCGAACGTGGCCAATGCTTAGTTTGAGATCACCAGTTTTTACACATTGAGGATGATTCACAAGCAACGTCTATTGGTTCTCTGTGTAATTACAGCTGATCTGGCAATAACGGAGCAGCATCCGCGGGCGGTCTATCAGGCTTATGCTCATGATGTTCAGCTATCCTCAGTCCAAGACCAAAATTAGCTGCAAATTTCCCCGGTATTTACGTGCTACTCAGCAAACATTAACCAGCAATTTTAAAGAATTAAAGAATACTATTAAACTTTCTTGCGGGAGCTTGAAGCAGATATCCTAAGTTTGAAGTTTAGGCAGATTCAAGACGTTAGTATTTCCGTCAGAACTGTCAGAAGCTATCATCAGTGGACAACCTCGTGGTTTGTGGACAGCCCCTAAGGTGCTTTTCGTAACTAAGTATTTTGCAAAATGACGAGAATATCAACCAAATTCATCTATGCGGGTGTCTTTAATTGGATCGTGCTCTGCCGTTTAAAATCTTAAACTGTGTTTCAGTTGTTGTTGAATTTATCCTTACAGAGTGCTTGGATCTGTCGAGAATAGTATGTTTGTTATTAGTGAATGTAGCATTGTGCACATTGTGCTGAAATTAGATTCGGCACAGCTTGGGCACATCCATCGGCACAATCTCGTAGACATTGGATTGTTTTAAATAAAATGGGAGCATTGCTGGCCAATTGTTGTTCACAACATTACGTGCTAATTGAATATACCAGAGGAACTCAGACTAGCAGTTCGCTTATAGATCTAAATTCGAAATGTAGGTTCTAGAGTGTACTCAAGAGAAAGAAGCGGTTATTCAGGCCCCATTAGTACCCTTAATTCAAATAATGATGAAACTCACACAAAACAAACTACAGAAGTCTATTCAGCATCCTCTATAGTCGGTCTCCAACAATGTTCCCCACCGGTTCCATCTCTTTCCGGACGCTGGCTATAGGCTACGTTTCTGGTCTGCCTTTGAAGGCATTCCCCCTTATTCTGCGAGTCACGTGACTCTCTGTCACCAGTGAGGTGACAATTGTCACCTCGTGTGAGGTGACTCTCCATGTAAATCAAATGGAGAGTCACCTCACACGAGGTGACTATTGTCACCTCACCGGTGAGAGAGAGTCACGTGACTCGCAGAATAAGGGGGATTATAAAACCTTAAAACACAGGACTGTTATCATCCTTTGAACATCCACTTCCCGCGTCATCCTCAATCCGATTTATCCGTGCGATTTCAAACGAAAACATTCAAGGTGCCAGACATACCGGGTTGCTGGGATGGGTATTTTACAAACAATCGCAGCTTGCTCTATGACCGGCACAATCGGCACACTGACAAAAATTATAACCCAAGATTGGTGTGCGGAGTGACCTACCCCTTGGAATGCAGCCGTATCATCAGAATGATGGTCCGACACAATGCCAGTGGCTGGGACGTGTCATCAAACTTGCAGTAAACCTCGAAGAAAAGGATCCCCGAATGCATCTGGTGTTCGTGTTGAACTGAAAGTGTGTCCATTCTATCTGCTGGACAGATACCTGCTATCAGTTTGGGGTATGGGTGATACCTGTATTCTTCCGTTGTTTTACAGTCCACGAACTGAGAACAGGTTCACGATATCAACAACATAAATCACGTTTCCATGATCTAGAGTTTACGATTCTATTACTTTTGTTGCTTTTGCTACAATGCGGAACGATGTTCACGATTTCTTGATTTTTATTCATAGTGTACACTGACCCCACAATTCTGGATCAGCTAAAAACAATTATGGATCAGACAGTCTAGTATGTTAATAGAAGTGATCCATAATCGTGGGGTCAGTGTACTTTCGTAAACGAAAAATTTACCTGGTCCGAGATCCGTGACTTGAGGTTCACGAATTGCGGAACGGATGTCCAACAAGGGCAGCGAGAAGAACGAGTTTGCCCAAACCACCAGCGCATGCCACGACTTTTGGCTGTCCTATCTGGAGTGCTTGAAGCCGGTGTTCCAGTCCGGATCCGAGGGAGCTAAGATCTCCACCCGGTGGATGCTCTACACTTGCTTGAAGCTTGATCTGAAGCGTCTATCGCCCAGCATACCTTTAATCACTGTACTGGCCGTGTGCCAACGTGTAGCAGGTAGCTAATATTAGCGTGGCCTCTTACCCGGAACTGGAATCATGAAACTGGCACAATGAGCAGCTCGAGAAATGTTTTTACTTTGTGCAGTGTGTGGCCAAGGCAACCCAAAGCAATTACAATTTGCTCGTCGTCCCGAAGCGGTTACAACTTGTCGATCAAGATGAAGACGGCAGCGTTCGTCCTATGCAGTAATGATGCCACCACGGACATGCTGGAGAGTTTCATGGAAGCAGCCAGCTATGAGAGCAAGATTCCTGAGGAAGTTCGGAAGAACAATCAGGAGAAGCTCGATCAACCTACTACAGAGGCTGTGTTGGGCTACCGAATGCTAAAAAAAAAACTAATTGCTTACAGCAGAAGTCTCAGAGCAGAAGTAGTAATTTATGGCCTCTAAATACTGTACCTAATAAACAAAAATGGCATCAACACAGTTGGAATAAGTTGAACAAGCTGCTCCAGGCATTCTTAGACATTGTTAATCGAATCCTCTTTCGCTTCCAGGGCGTCATCGGGAATTGCCGGTGCTGTAGCGGCAGCTGGTTAGGAGGTGGCACTTTCCATCTTGTCGCTAGCTTCGGCACTGGCCACTACTTCCTGAGCCTCGGCAATAGGATCTGCGCTGAGAGGGAATCCACTGCGAGACTTTACGCTTGCGGCTCCCAAAAATCTATACAGGGTGACTGGTAATTCGTGTTACACCCGAAAGGAGGTGAAAGTAGACCTCATTATTCGCCGCTAAAAATTGTGTGGCAAGGTAGGTCGAAAATCATTCCTTATCGAGTTATTGATCTATTTATTTTACATTGCCGAGCAACACTTTTGCTGATTCACAGAAATCATGACATGCATCGACAGTTCACAAATAAGAAGAAGCAACATCCGCAGCTCAGTGTTCACTCGGCTGTCGATAGAAGCAGACCACTCTCAATGTGTGTCACGCGATTGCCTGTTTACTCGGCAGCAACCCTTGTGTGGTCCCGTCTTGAATGAACCTCTTCAAAGTGGTTTGTTCAAAGAGACGGTAATAGATGGAAGCACTGTGTGGTCCTCCTCATTGTTCTTCATCAGCAGTTCTTTCAGTCGATGCGTCGTCGACTTTGGAAAGCAACCGTTTCGTGATGAATGTGTGACTGCTGACCACGTTTTGCGTCCATTGCTGCAATGGAAGCGCTCTGGCCCCCGTTGGCGAATCTGCCATACAATGAAACCACTGGAAGCGGCTCCCGTTCTGGTGGAGGAGGCTTATTGGATAGCGGAAGATAAAATGTTTATTGTATTGTACCTTTTGACTAGCTTTAAAATGTATTGTATAGTGAAGAAGAATCCTCGGCTCTGTAAAGTTAATTCGGTTGAGCCTTATCAAATACCTTAATAAGCAACATCCGCAGCTGTCAAACATAAACACAACACGAAACAAATCACAACCGGATAATTTGTACGGCAATCACGGCTCTTATTCTGAGTATCACTTCCTTATCACCGTGTAGTGACACCCGTAATAAGGCCCACCACTTTTTTCTCGGGCACTCGCGAATATTAACAAAGCAGTGAGTAAGCATTGCTTGGCTACTATGATCAATCTTTGTTTACTAACCACTCTATTCAATTGGTTTACTTTCGGGTGGATTTGATCAGGTTCTTACCGTTTAAGGTAACATTTTTGATTGCATATGAATACCCGAACAAAATGAGGCATTTTGAATCAGTAGAAAATTAATTGCTCAATAACTCGGTAAGGAATGATTTTTCGACCTACCTTGCTATACACTTTTTTTTTGTTACAAATGTGGTCTACTTTCACCTCCTTTCGGGTGTAAAACGAATTACCAGTCACCCTGTATATCAACAACAATGGCCCTTATTACCGATGTCGGGCCTTATTACGGGTGTCACTACACGGTGATAAAGAAGTGATACTCATAATAAGAGCCGTGATTGCCGTACAAATCAAATGGGAATCACTTCACCGTGACGACAAGTGATAAGTTTTCACCGTGAAGTGACATCCGTAATAAGCCCCGTCACTTCACGGTGAAGTGACAACTTCTCACTCACGGTGAAGTGATTCCCATTTGATTTACACGGCAATCACTTCACCGTGAGTGACAACTGGTCACTTCACTTCGTTTTCACCGTGAAGTGACACTCGTAATAAGGCCCAATGATTCAATTTAATTTTGACACATGCGAACTGAGCTGGCGCAGAAATGGTGCAGTGTTGCCAGTAACTTTAAAGATAGTGAAAATGGGTGTCACGATCACGAATGACAGGCTGTTTTGCTGTCCACGTCTTTGTTAATTAATACTATCATTAACAAATATTTGGCAGATCCTCCAATCAGGGACGGTACTAACAGTTAATCCGAGTTGGAGCTTACCGCCATCAGTGTTCATGATTGGTAAACATTGCTTCCGCAGATTCCCCCTTATTCTGCGAGACACGTGACTCTCTGTCACCGGTGAGGTGACAATTGTCACCTCGTGTGAGGTGACTCTCCATGTAAATCAAATGGAGAGTCACCTCACACGAGGTGACTATTGTCACCTCACCGGTGAGAGAGAGTCACGTGACTCGGAGAATAAGGGGGATTGTGTCACTTTTTCTCGAGTGAGTGAATTCAAATCCATCCGTGCACTCGTCTATTATCTTATACCTCGTTCACATTACAGCGTGTATCGCGTAATATAGGCTGTCTTGCAATGAGCACTCATACATCTAGTTTTAACTGGAAATCCTATGTATAAGTGCTCATTGCAAGACAGCCTATATTACGTGATATAAGCTGTAATGTGAACGGGGTATTATATTTATATCAATGATATGTACCAACGGTGACTACACTAGTGGAAATAAATATAAAGACACTTTAAAAGCATGGCTCCTCCAAACTTTACGATTCAGATTAATTCTAAATCATGTGTGTTTGCAAGTCACATCATCATGTTACAATATAAACCTAAGAATGAACCATTTTCATAATATACCTAGGAGAAATAAATGAAAATGTGATTCTTTCCTACAGAAATAAATATAAGGACGCCATACAAAAATGTAAGGGAAATTGGTAATTTTCGATGCATGATTTAGCATGTTATCAATTATTGCGGCTCCAAATCAATCACAGATTTAATTCCAATATTCATTAATCTCGATAATTGCTAAATTTCAATCATATCCAATCGGTAGTTCTCAAAATTCACAAAAATCTTTAATTGATCATCGATGTTAGCTATTACCAAAGTTAATGGTTTGATTCATACATATCGTCCGTTATGTAGGTCCTTGATCAGAATCTCCATTCAATGACGGACTGGAGAAAAAGGGCACACCGAAAGTAAATGGAATAAGGAATAAAAAAGAAAAAAACCGAAACCCCCTGAAAGTCACTCCATCAGATATAAAAGTAAAACATTTGGTAACAGAAGAAAAACATCTAACTACGAATACTTACACCATGCTTCGGACTCGACGTTCAAGCGGACCAGAGATTTGCGCCTCTTTTCCTTTCACGCAACTCAGTTGACTGTCGATTTCATCAGCTTCAATGATATTTGTTTCCCCTAGCATCATTACAACCATCTATTTTCCACTGATCTTCCCCTAGTCTACTGGATAGATATTACGGTTGTGATTAAAATTAAATTGACGAAAAAAAAAAAATCCCTACTTAAGCCTGCGTTGCTCTCTCTCTATCTCTATCAGATGCCCTATCAAATACATACATGATAATGATAATAGTACTCATCACTTCGGCACTACAACGAACACGACGGACCATCAGAGAAGGGCTATACCTATTGTTTCACATTGATCTGCTCAAGGTATTGAAAGAGTACATATCGCTTGCTGTTTGTTTTGGTTGCGTTTCTACACAACTCACGGTTTAAAACCCCAAGGATATTAAAAATCGACCCTCGTCCCACACGTGCTCCTGTCCGTGCGGGCAAGGGAGAGAGGACGATTCCAAATAGAATGTTTCAGAGAATCTACAGTTGTTTTGTTTTGTTTCGTTTTCGAGTAAGGTAATTGGATCTGGGTTGGATTTGTCGTCCCTAAATATTTGTTTTTTTTTTGTTTTGCTTTGCTTCGCTAATTATGACTTTGAATGTGTATGTATGTAAGTATGGGTGTGTGTGTTTGTGTCTGTCTGGTTGTGGGTGACTTTCCTTACTTATCTCAAATGAGTAATCCCTAAACGATAATCACGTTCTATCACGCGTGTGTATCTGAGCTTAAATAGAGGTTTTAACTCTTACTATTAGCCTTAACTGGTATGATTTTTCTTCTTCTTCTTCTTCTTCTAATGTCTGACTAAGTTCCTTTTTTTTAGCATTCTTTTCGTCCTTACTTTTGGGCAGTGACTACACGCACGGAAATTATGGAGAGATATGAGAGTTTGCCAACAATAATAAGATCCCGGGTAGTAGTATTGATAATCGATGAAAAAACGCGTTATCGCTTCACAAATGGCAGCTGTACACATAGAGACAAAAAGAATATAAGGTAGTATTTATAAACGGAGATGATCACGATTCAAATCATGACGTTCAGAGAGGTTTCGCAAGAGAACGAATACTTCCTGTAGTAGCGGCTCTCTCTCTCTATTCTCTACACACCTACTATAATGTAACTATATATGCAATTTTACAACTATAGTTGAATCACTATACTTTTCCGGTCAAAATTTCTCTTGCAGCTCACACGTCCCTACTAGCGTATATTCCTAGTATTACTGTGCCTCTTTAAAAGAAAAATTATAGTAGTATCGGCTGGCGCCTAGATGTAGACACGATTCACACGTTCTCTAGAAGCAGTAATGCACGTACCGTGCACAGTGCTGATGTCTCGTGTGATATCATCGGCTTTCCATGCCGCTTCCGCTGTTGCTGCCGCCGCTCCCCGAGCCACCTCCGATCGGACCGCCCTTCTTGTCCGTCGGCGAGATGGTCTTTTTGCGCTTGGAAGAGGACGTCGTCGCGTTCACATTCTGCCCCGACGACGACTTTTTGCTCAAGCTGTACAACTGCTGACCTTGCTGCTGCTGCTGCTGCTGCTGTAGCTGCAGTTGCTGTTGCTGCTGGTTCTTCTGGTCCTTTCCACCGTTGCTGCCTACCACCACAACGTTGTTATTGCTCTGGTGCAGATTCTCATCCTTACCAGTCAGGTTGATTATGTTGTTGGCGTTGTTGTTATTCGGATTGATCAAGTACTGCTCGAGCATGTTGATCGTTGACCGACGCTGTTTGCTATTGTGCCGGACCAAACCGGTCGACTGCTGCTGCTGCTGCTGCTGTTGGTTGTTGTTATTGTTACCCGCCGTGCCATGGCGGCCTCCAACGTTTCCCCCGAGGGCGGCCATCCGTTCTGAGCTACTCCGAGGAGTGTAGATGTTGAGTGGGGCGTTCTTGCCGCCACCACCCACGATCTGATGCGGCGACGATGCGCTGCGTCGGTTGTTCATCTGGAAAGAAATCCGCTGTACAGGACACCTATTTGACCTATGCCAGCAATTCTACTCACGCTATAGTTGATCATCTGGTTTTCGTTGATCCCATCGAGCATCTGCTGCTGCTGTTGTTGTTGCTGCTGCTGCTGTTGGGCGACCAAGGTCAGGTTGATCACATTATTATCCTCTATTAGCACGGTTTCGTGCCCGTGGGTTGGAATTTGAGAGGTTAGAACCACTACGGGACCACCGCCGCCGCCGCCTCCGGTGGTCCCATTCGGATGGTGCATCGTATGATGATCGTGCACCAACTCCGGAGATCGGTTTATGCTCGTTGGGGAAATGTCTCGCGAGGCGGAATTCGAGTCCACGTCGCTGTCCATGCTTTCCTCGGAGGTGTCCACACTCGATAAGCTGTTTCTCCGCCTGTTGTTGTTATTGTTATTGTAGATGATCTGCTGGAGCTGGACTTGCTGCTGGAGGTGTAGTGGAATATGCGGGTTCAGCGGGTCGTTCAGTATCGTCGGCACTATCGTTTGCGCCGCTATCAGTCTTGATTCGAACGTTTCCTTGATCCATTTGCGGTATTCGATCACCTCGTCGGTGACGCGTATTATCCGACCGAGGATGCTCTGCCGGTTGCAGTCGTTGAGGAATTTGTTCAGCGGTGAGACGGCCTGCATCAACACGATGTACGCGTACTCGAAGGCCTGCTTCACTTGGAGGGCACCTTTTTGGAAGAGAACAGATTGGTAAATAATCGGGGTAAGGGTAACGGCATAATGAACGGTTGGAACCTACCATAAGATGACCGCCCGATGTCGTTTCCCGGCGTTAGGGGATCTTCAATACACAGTAAGCTGGGCCTGTGACCGTCGATCATCTCACGTTGCAGTTCTTCTTTGGGTATATATCGGCCGCCATTTTTAACACTAATTCCTGTGGACGGAAAATATCGTTCGTTAGTTAGTTGGTTCTTAGTCAATGGATCATTCAACGGGAGGGTTGAATGCGAGAATTCGAAGAGGGAGCGTCCAACATTGTCGTGCTGCTGTCGGACCACCAGAGATCAGCAGAGATTATGGGCAGGGTTCTGAAATCACGCTTCTGAGGAGCCTAAGATTTAAGCGGAAGCAGGGATGCCAGGTGTATTTAGAAAAAATCTTCATCGAGATGCTCAAATTTGTGATGGGTGTTGTTCAAATTTACAAAATCTTTATAGAAGTTCTATAGAAGAAAATTTGATTATCCCGATCAAGACTGTCGGACTGGTTTGATGTCGTCGTCGGTATCAATTGACACGATCCTCAACAAACATTTGACGGATCTTTTTAGTAGGGACAGCTGACAATGATAATAAAAGAAAAAATGATAGTTTTTCTATATTTAGGTAGGCCCATTTCATTTATACAGTATAACTAACCTATTCCACAATTCTGATAACATGAACTATTACTTTTATTTTTTTATTGTTCGTTGATCTTGACTTGACTTGCTCGTTGACTTTTTTTTTTTCTTTCTATTTTGCGGAACAGTTATCAAAAGAGCGGGCGACCCTGGTTAACATTCTAACGTCTCACACCAAAAGTCATTCAAAGCTGCGATCTGGGCTGAGATAAAACTTCTTTTTCTTCTTAGAAATTCAATGTTCTCAAAAATAAAATAAACTTCACTGTGGGATCAATAATTTAAAAAACGCAAAATTATTATTCATGTTATCAATAATGTGAAATAAGTGAGTTATACTGTATATGCAATATGGGCCTACCTAAGAATAGATAAACTATCATATTTTCTTTAATTGTCATACTCTCTCGGCATCGGCCATCGTCCATCTGCATCGGCCAAAAGTCGCGTGTGTTCTGAAATTCGTGAGTATTTTGTGAAAAAACAGTAGAAATGGGTCGGAAAAGAACAACGGTTGCAAAAAAAGCGTGTTCAAAAATGTGCGACGAACAAGAATATCGCATTCGTGGTGGATATAATTCCTGAATTGAAGGTAAGAAACCTTGTACATTTTGGTACTGAACGTAACCTCTACATTTTTCTAGGAAGTTGAGCCACCAGCCAAAAAGAAAGCTCAACTGCAAACATCTGGCAGCGACTTACAGGCGAATCCTGTTTTCTAATTCGTCAACAAACCTGAATCAGTCACTGAATGTGCCGGTTCCGATAAGGAAGTCACTGAATATATCGGTTCCGATAAGGAAGACGCAGATGTGCGTAAGCTGCCACCGATAATCCGCACATATCGCCGAAAAGCATCAGTTGAACAATTAATGCAAGATTGGGACAACGAATCGTCAGATGAGCAGGAGGTGAATCAGGCAAATGACCAGGAGATAAACCAGGTGAACACCACACCAAACCAAGTAACAGGTAGGCTTTATTTTTTTCATCATATCAGGCAATCAATCAATCATTTTTTTATGTTCAAGACTGCTCATGTGGAACGGCGGAGGAGGCCAGGAAATATAAAAAGATGGTGGAGTCCCTCCAGATGGATTTGTTGGAGGAAATTTTAAAAACCAAACGGCTTGCTGAGGAGAATGCTAGATTGGTGACACAAAACGGCAAACTACAAGAAGCTCTAACATCGAAACTACTACCAGAGTAAGAAACACCATTCAAAGACTGCGGAGAATACGTCGATGCCAACACGTTGCGCCAGTTTTCTCTTGAGGCAGATAGTGATTATTTGTTCATCAAGTTTATCATGATGAGACTTTGGCCTGAGGGATTGCTCGGTAGATCAGTGACGGGACGTCAGTCAAACAATCCATCTGGTCGTCCGAAATCTGTACGACAGGAAGACAAAACTGGAGAGGGCACATCGGCCGGAGCAAGTATTTCAGGGGAGAGTGCTGATGGAACCAGTGTTACCAAGCTTGCGTTGGAGAAGGAAAAAGTGGACTATTGCATCCGTAAGTTTATAAGAAAATTGGTCATATTTGCTTAATTCATTGAATGTCGTCTGTCTTACAGGTTGTCTCCACGAACGTCGAATCTTTTTGCGAGATGACGTAAAAACTGCAATGGCCCGTTCCAAAGCAGGCACAAGTTTGATGACGAGAGTAATCGCGAATGCTTCGCGATCGTGATTGTTTTTGTTAAGACAATCACTTTTTTTTTTGTTTTTTATTGCTACAATACCTGTTAACTTTTTGATTTTAACCTGTTGTGGATTTAATAACCATTTATTTTTGTCCATTGATCTTGTTAAGTTTAGTGTTACTCAAGTATCCGCTTGGCGATATTGATTCAGTTCTGATTATAAGCATCGATTAACTTTATCGAAAATAAAATTTCTTTTATTATCAAGTTTATTTTTTTCTTTGAAAAATCACAAAAATTATTATCATAAGTGCGGAGAAAAAGAAACTAGTTGATAACTGAATCTGTTATCAGTTGATTATAAGATCTGTTATGCAATCAGACAAAATACATTGCAGAATTTGTTATCAACTTGCTTTCAATGATATCGAAACAAGTTATCAACATGATATTTCTAGAAGAAATTTTTGTTATCATTTTTGTTATGTTGGCTGTTAATTCAGCCAAGTTGATAACAAATTTAGTTATCAAAACAGATGATAACTTGATAACAAAATTTATTATCAATGAGTTATTTTCCTTTGCTCGGGTCGTGGGTCACCATCGACGGCGAACGAGCGCTTGTCGTTTACAAGGGACAGCTTCAATCCTGTCGCCACTGTCACGAGCAAGCGCACTACTAGCGCAAATGTCGTCGTCGCAACGAGTAACTGCCCAACCAGCCAACACCAGCACGGCTACGGTTGACCTGTTCAAGAAGACCCCACACGCGCTGCGATCGCAGAGCAAGAGCGGGAATGGTAACGAAACCGACGAATCTTCCACATCCACGAGTAGGAGGCGGGACAGGGTCGACCGCCGAGCAAAGAAACCGCGCCGGATCAGCGAGGACGAAGAGCGGGGTGGAGAGAAGCTCCCATAAATGGCTCTCACATCCTACAACGTTGCTTCCATCAACATCGGCACCATCACGAACCCTACAAAACTAAATGCACTCCGAGCCTTCATCAGTAGCCAAAATCTCGATATTGTGTGTCTGCAAGAGGTTGAAAACGAGCAGCTCTCCTTGCCTGGCTTCGTCGTTTTCGCCAATGTAGACCACATGAGAAGAGGTACAGCTATTGCTCTGAAGGACCACATCCATGCCGACTGCTTGCGCTGAGAGTGCAAGATACAACTATCTACAACGTTTACGCTCCCTCCGGCTCTTCGCAGCGCGCAGCTCGGGAGGATTTCTTTAATGGGACGCTTGCCTACTACCTCCGTCATCGGACACAGCATGTGATTCTGGCTGGTGACTTTAATTGTGTGCTGCGAGCATGCGATTCAAGTAGCCCCAACACAAGCCCCTCACTCAAAACAGCTGTGCAGCAGCTCCAGCTGCACGATGTGTGGGAAAAGCTTTGTCCACGCGATACAGGCTTCACCTACGTCAGCAGAAATGCTCAATCGCGCCTCGACCGCATTTATGTCAGCAGCGTTTTGCGCGATAACCTGCGAGCAGCACACAAGCATGTCTGCTCGTTCACCGACCACAAAGCGCTGACACTCCGAATATGCCTCCCCCAACTTGGACACGAACACGGCCGTGGATTCTGGTCACTTCGGCCCCACCTTCTAACTGACGAAAACGTTGGGGAGTTCCAATATAAGTGGCAATATTGGACCCGCCAACGCAGGAACTACGGGTCATGGATGGAATGGTGGCTCTCGTACGCTAAGCCTAAAATAAAATCGTTCTTCAAGTGGAAATCTCGAGAAGTTTTCGACGAATTCTACAGCGCACACCAGCGTCTCTATGCGGAGCTACGGTTAGCGTACGACGGGTATTACCAGCACCCAGAACTGATAACCACGATCAATCGATTGAAAGGGGAAATGTTGGCACTGCAGCGTAATTTCTCCCATACGTTCATGCGGATCAACGAAACGCACGTGGCGGGGGAACCACTGTCGATATTCCAGTTGGGGGAGAGGCGGAGAAAGAGAACCGTCATCACACAACTGGCCACGGAGCAAAATGCAAACATCGAGGAACCGCAAGCGATCGAGGCGCTCTTGCTGGGCTATTTATTCGAGCTCTACTCGGAAGTAGCAAACGGTGGAGACGACAACAGCTTCGTTTGTGAGAGAGCCGTTCCGCCGAACGACCCACTGAATGAAGCCTGCACGAGCGAAATCACCACGGCAGAAATTCTGTCGGAAATAACAACAAGTGCTCCCAGAAAGTCTCCCGGCTGCGACGGCATCCCGCGAGAGTTTTATTACCGCATGTTCGACGTTATCCACCGAGAGCTGAACGTGCTGCTCAACGAAGCGCTCACCGGCAATCTTCCCGCCGCATTTGTGGAAGGCATTATCGTGCTGGTTAAAAAGAGAGGAGGATACAACACGACACTATCCTACCGTCCGATCTCGCTGCTCAACAGCGATTACAAACTGTTCTCCCGCATTATCAAGACCAGGCTAGAGCGGGTGATGAGAGCCCACCGCGTGCTGAGCGATGGACAGAAATGCTCTAACTCCAAGCGAAACATCTTCCAAGCCACCTTTGCTCTGAAAGATCGGATCGCCAGTCTCCGTCACCATCGCCGTGCCGGGAAGCTCATAAGCTACGATCTCGATCATGCGTTCGATCGGGTCCGGCACTCATTTCTCTTCTTGACCATGCGCTCCCTCGGATTCAACGAGAATCTCATCGCTCTGCTGGCGCAGATTGCCAATCGCTCAACCTCACGGCTGCTCATCAATGGGCATCTCTCTCGCCCTTTCGAAATCCAACGCTCCGTACGGCAAGGGGACCCGTTGTCCATGCACCTCTTCGTGCTGTACCTCCACCCACTGGTGGTCAGACTCGAGCAAGCGTGCGGAAATGATTTGCTAGT